AAAAAAAAAAGAGAGAGAGAGAAAATTGAAGCTGAATTAAATAAAAGAGCTTGATCAGTTAGTTTTGTTGATAACTGGCACAAGGCACTGAGCAGGTGTGGTAACACCTCAGAACCCCCAGTATCGATGGGACGGGCCTGTATTCTTTCTGGCTTCAAACTCTGTCTCTAATGAAGGCATTCTTTCTCTTTACATAGCACACATTTGAAGAAGCAGAGAAGGGGTTTGATGAGACCTTGGCCAAAGAGAAGGGCATGAATCGGGATGATCGGATCCATGGAGCCTTGCTAATCCTTAACGAGCTGGTCCGAATCAGCAGCATGGAGGGAGAGGTAAGAAGCCTCTGCACAGGGGTGTCCAGGCTCCCTGTTTACCATTCTGTGAGCATAGCAAGGCGAGATCCGTGTCCTCATGGAGCTGACGTTTTGTGGCAGGAAACATAATAAACAAGTAAATAAGATAATTTCAGATAGCAGCAAGTCCTATGAAGAAAGGAAAACCAGAATAGGATAGAGTGGTGGGGAAGGGGTGAGTGTAGGGTCAGGGAAGGCCCTCCTTGAGATGGTGTTATTTGAGGGCGATCCACATGATACGAAGGAGCTACCTTGCAGCAGGCCGGGGGACTGTGTTCCAGGCTGAGGCTTTGAGGTGGGGGAGTATGAGAAATTGATGAAACAGAAGAAAGGGAAGTGTGGCTGGTATACTGGGAGGACGGGGGAGGGAAGGAGGGACCAAATTAATAGGCCCATGGTTTGCAGTAAACACAAGCTTTTATTCTAGTTGCAGGGGTAGACAGTTGGAGGTGAGCACACTGGAATAATGTGAGGTCATGTGTTTCTAACAATCACTGACTGCTTATAGGGAAAAATGTGGGGAAAGGCAGGAATGAAGGCAGGGGACCAGTTAGGAGATGTGTGGGCTTGAGAAGGTAGGTTTAAAAGTGCATGGATTTTATTGGGGAAACGGCCTTCAAGAGAAAATGGGGAGGGAGCTGGAAGAACCATCAGACTACAATACACATCTGACCCTGAGTAAACAAGAGGGGAAAATATGGATAGAAGCGTCCTAGTCTACGATGCAGGGCCACCGTGGGGTCCTCAAGCTAAAGTCGGCCATCAGAAAGGCCTGCATCTCCCTGGAGCAGGATGGCTTTAGCATCCCTACTGTGTTCTGTCATTGCCTGGGAGTAATGGGCAGCCTTTGCACAAACTTAATGATGGGTTTCAGAGCAGCAGCTGGGGCCATTGGTTATACCCCTTATAGTTGGAGGTTGCATTCTCACAGCTGCCAGAGGAAGCTATTACAGTAGTCTGGGTGAGTGACAGTGGTGGCTTTGACTAGGAGTTGTGGTATGGATACTGAGTAGTAGTTGATTCAGGATATATTTGGGAGGTAAAGCTCCATCTGTGAGACTGGCTATTGAAAACTAGTGTAATTTTACTGCAGGGATTCCTAATTATAACAGACACAGTGATTGTTAATTATAATAGACACAGCTCTTAGCTAACAGCTGTACCTAAATGTGGGAGCAGCGCATGCAGCAGTGTACAGAAGCAGAAGGAGTCTGGCTTCAGGTCCCCACTGCGCTGTTTACTGTGTGACTCAGGCAGGTTACCTGTTTAGCCTCATTTTTCTCCCTTTGGACAGGGGCTCTTACCTACCTCATTGGGCTCTTGTGTGGTTTCTAAATGACATTGGCCCTCTATCTCCATGAGTTCTACATCTGGATGGATCAGAAATATCCAGGGCTGGGTGCAGTGGCCCACTACTGCAATTTCAGAACTTTGGGAGGCTGAAGTGGGAAGATCACTTGAGCTCAGGAGTTCGAGACCAGCCTGTGTGAAAGATGGCGAGACCGTGTCTCTACAAAAAAAAATTTTTAACTTTTTTAAAAAGAAAAAAAAAAATCAAGGAAAAAAATACAAAAATTTAAAAATAATACAAATTTAAAAAAATACAGCATAACATTTACATAGCCTTTACAGTTTATTAGGTGTTATAACATAGAGATGATTTAAAGTATGTGGGATGATATACATAGGTTACATGCTAATACTATGCTATTTTATCTGAGGAACTTGAGCATCTGCAGATTTTGGAATCTGTAGTGGGTCATGGAACCAACCCCTGTGGATACCAAGGGGATGACTATGTCTGTGAAGTATCCAGCCCAGCACCTGATACATAGTGGGCATTCTGTAAATGGGAACCTTCAGATTTTCCCTCCTGAGTTTAACACGGTGTTTTCCACTGTAATATAGGCAGCTCTGAGATCTTTGTTTCCTCCCATTAAAACAGGACAATATCACTTAGCTCATAGGGTGGTTGTCAGATTTAAGTGAAATAGTTCTTGTGAAGGTGGTTGTAAATTATAAGAAACCAACCAAGGCTGGGCATGGTGGCTCATGCCTATAATCCAAGCATTTTGGGAAGCCAAAGTGGGAGGATCACTTGAGCTCAGGGGTTTTTGACTAGCCTGGGCAACAAAGTGAGACCTTGTCTCCAAAAAAAAAAAATCCAAATGTAAGGTATTAAAATTTCATAATTTGTTCATTAATTCAACACATATTAATTGAGCATCTAGTATATGCCAGCTATACTGTGTCCTAAGAGCTAGAATAATGCAGCAGTGAATAACATAGATTCCATTCTTATAGGGGAAGATAGATAACATACAAGTAGAAACCAATTGTATGTCATATGGTTATAAGAGCTATGGAGAAAAGGAGGGCAAGGAAGGGGAATAGAGAAGGCTAGCATGGATTAAGGATTACATTTTAAAACATGGTGCCATTTGAGCATAGTCATGAAGGCGGTTAGAAAAAAGTCCTACAGGTATCTGGGGAAGAGCGTTCTAGGCAATGGCCCCGAGGCAGGAGCGTGCTGGTGTATTAGAGGAGCAGCAAGTACTGCAGTAGCAGCTCCACTACCATGGCTGAGCAGAATGAGCAGGAGAGGTATGTGGGGACGTGGGGTCAGAGGAACACCTAGGGGAAGCAGGGGGCGTATCACATAGGGCCTTTGTGTGGGAAGTGGGAAGCTGCAAGTGAGCTTTGAGCAGTGGAGTGACATTTAACTCATATTTCAAAAGGATCACTCCTGCCAGTGTGTTGAGAATGGATTGTTGGAGGGCCAAGGACTAAAGCCAGGAATTCAGCTAGGAGGAAACTGTGGCAGTCTTAGCGGGGGATATTTGTGGCACAGACCACAGTGTGAGCTATGGAGTTGCAAGAAGCAACTGGATTCTGAATCTGGGATTTGCTGATGGTTTGGAGGTAGATGGAGAGAACAAAGTGTCAGGGTGTTTGGCCTGAGCAGTGGGAAGATGAAGTTGCCATTTACTGTAGTGGGAAGTCTGAAATGGGAGGAGCAGGCTTGGGGGAGAAGGCTGGGAGTTTGGTTTTGAACCTGTTAACTTAGAGAGCTGTTGGGCACCTGAGTGGAGATACTGAATAGTTTTGGGCAGAGATCTGGGCAAGAGGGATGGATTTGGGCATTGTCAGTGTATAGATGTTGTTTCATCATGAGACTGGGTGAGAAGCACAAGGAAACTAGTACAGTTGGGGAAGAGATGGGGTCTGCAAACCTGAGGTCAAGAGATGAAGAGGACCAAGGGAGATGGGGAGGGAACAGCCAGAGAGGGAGGAGGACAGCCAGGAGAGTTCAGAGTCTGAGAAGCCAAGTGAAGAAAAGGCTTCAAGGAGGAGGAAGTATCAGTTGGATCAAACGCTGCAGATAAGTCAAATATGATGACAACGAAGAACTGACCATTGGATTTAGCAGCTTAAGACTCATTGGTGACTTTGATGAGAGCAGTGGACAAAATTTTCTGAAAAGTGAAAATGTGTGTGTCAAGAAAAGTTTATCTTCTTCTCAATTTGGACTCTTGGAGGATGAACCCCCCCCTCACCAAACTTCCCCCCCAACCCAGCCCCCAAGATGCAGTCTTGCTCTGTCGCCCAGGCCGGAGTGCAATGGCATGATCTTGGCTCACTGCAACCTCTGCCTACTGGGTTCAAGCAATTCTTCTGCCTCTGCCTCCTGAGGAGCTAGGATTACAGGCATGTAATCCTACACCCCCACACCCAGCTAATTTTTGTATTTTTAGTAGAAACGGGGCTTTACGATGTTGGCTAGGCTGGTCTTAAACTCCTGACCTCATGATCTGCCTGCCTTGGCCCCGCAAAGTGCTGGGATTACAGGCATGAGCCACCAGGCCTGGCTGAGGATGAGTTATTAAGCAGCCCTTTGTAAACGGAATAAACATGAGTTCTCAGCTTTTTCCATACCACCTGTGGAACCCTAGGATTCTGAGAAACTTACTTACGTTTTTTTTTATTTTTATTTTTATTTTTTTGATACAGAGTCCCACTCTGTCATCTAGGCTAGAGTTCAATGGCGCAATCTTGGTTCACTGCAGTCTCCAACTCCCAGGTTCAAGTGATTCTCCTGCCTCAGCACCCGCCCCCCCACCCCACCCCCCCACCTCACCCCCCCACCTCCCCACCTCGTAGCCAGGACTACAGGTTGTAGGCCACCACACCCAGGTAATTTTTTGTATTTTTAGCAAAGATGGGGTTTCACCATCTTGGCCTGGCCTCACGTGATCTACCTGGCTCGGCCTCCCAAAGTACTGGGGTTACAGACGTGAGCCACTGTACCTGGCCTACTTAAGGTTTTACCTGGGTTTCTGGGGAGAAGGAAGAGACCAGACAGTCCTTAACAGGATGCTGGCAGGGGGCCTCCTATCACCTTTGCAAGCCTCATTGCTGTGGCCTAGGTCAGTAGTCACAGCAATATGCAAGTCACCCCTTCCAAACCAGGTGAGGAGTCCTGGGAGGGGAGAACCCTTGGCAAGGCCGCCCTGTGCTGCCTCTTTATTGTTCAATAGGTGGTGCTCTTCTGCCTAACTGACAACAAAATCAGGTCTCTTGCAAGGTGCTGGGGAAATTATAACCCTAAACATGAAGCGTGGCCACCCTTCACTTTGGAAGTAGTTGCATTTTGAGATTAGGCAAATGTAATGCTCTGTAGACCCCACAGTGCCCAGTTTGAATGCCACTCATAAGTAAAGATGATTTTTTTTCCTCCTCACATATACAGCGTCTGAGAGAAGAAATGGAAGAAATCACACAGCAGCAGCTGGTACACAACAAGTACTGCAAAGATCTCATGGGCTTTGGAACAAAGCCTCGTCACATTACCCCCTTCACCGGTTTCCAGGCTGTGCAGCCCCAGCAGTCAAATGCCTTGGTGGGGCTGCTGGGGTACAGCTCTCACCAAGGCCTCATGGGATTTGGGGCCTCCCCTAGCCCAGCTAAGTCCACCCTGGTGGAGAGCCGGTGTTGCAGAGACTTGATGGAGGAGAAATTTGATCAGGTAAGTGGTGAGAGGCCCTTTCCCTCTTTTCCCAAGCTCCACACCTCACCTTTCCCCTGCCAACCCTTTATCCTTCCTCTCTCAGGTGTGCCAGTGGGTGCTGAAATGCAGGAATAGCAAGAACTCGCTGATCCAAATGACAATCCTTAATTTGTTGCCCCGCTTGGCTGCATTCCGACCTTCTGCCTTCACAGGTGAGGATGTCCATGGAAGACATCATTACCCATCTCAGGGTAATTAAACAGGGAACAGGTGATTCCAAAAAACTCAAATATCTTTTCATTTGAAGCAACACCAGTGAATCTCTGATTTCTTTGCCTCATGTCCAGTTTCAATAATATTTAGTTCAGGTTTTCTGCTAATGTCAGAGGCAGCAGACATAGGAACAATCAGAACGGGTAGGCAGAGAGGCACTTCTAAGACCAACAAGTTCACAAATAGATTTAAAACAGACCGGAGGAAGGGCAGTTTTGATGTAGCTGTCGTGCAGTATCTGTGTCAAAGCTCTGTGAGTCAGGAAGGATTTGGGGATCGTCCTGCTTCTGTCCCTGAGGTGGTCACTGAGCTGCCTCACCACTTGTGGGCAGCATGAATCCCTGGCTCCTAAAGCTGGCCTAGCTCAGATTCCAACTTCTCAGTGAAGCCTTCCTGGATTGCTCCAGCTATAAATGTCCTTTCCTTCGTCCATCATAGCCCTCAGCTGTGGAAAGGTTCGGCATTAGACCTGGGATGAACCCCACTTCCACCCTTAACCATGAGGTTTTGGACAGATTATTTGACCTACCTGGGCCTCAACTTCCTGAATTGCAGAATCAGAATAACCATCTCTGCTTCCCAAGATGAGCAGCATTAATGCCTAAGCACCAACTATAGTACCTGGCACGAAGTTAGCCCTAATAAATGGAAACCATTATATATTATCACGACCTCCTCAAGCTACTTCAAATCTGTTCTGGAAATAGGGTAGAGGTAAAAATCATAATGTTCCAGTTGCCTGTTCATACTTAATGTCCTTGTCTTACTTCCCTACTTGCTGAGAGTAGACGCCCAGTCTTGAAAATCTCTTCCCACTTGACCATGCTGCATGTTGCCTGTGCTTAGTGACATGTTCAGGACGGCGTGAGAGCCAGGAACATAAGCAGAAGGCCGGCCTGGCCCTTAGCAGACCCTGTTCCCTAGCACACAGATACTTCACGCCACCCAGCCTAGACAAACCATGGGAGAAGTGTAGCTGATGAGGTGTTAAACATGCTGTGTGAAAGCAGTAGAACATGTTGGGTGAGGACATGACGATTAGCCACATAAAACCACTGAGCCAGAGAGAAAGAACAAAAACCACCCATGTTTTGTGTGTTTCTATTCTTCTGGCCTGGCACCCAGCAGCTTTTCTCTTTTTTAATGACCAGAGAGGCTGCTGTTCAGTAGAGCTTCAAATGATCTTGGATTGAAAGTCTGTTGCTCGAAAGGAACTAATAACTAGGACAAATTTCATCAAAGTCTGGCACATTGTAGAAGCAGTGACCCTTGGAAGTTCAGAAGGCTGCTTAGCAGCAGGATGCAAAGGCTCAGAGGGCCCTGGATCTCTTCTTTTGATGTGGGAGTGTGTTGTTGCTGTTTTTTAAGGCTAGTCAAGGTTGTTTTATTAAATATACTAAAATATGTCAATGACATTCAGCCTGGACACTCCCTACAGGTATATTCTTTGTTGCATAAGTACTACTTGTTTAGAGCTTGTAGTTTGGAAGTTAATGCTTGGTGTAAGCTTTAGGAATATAAAAAAATACTCCAGTAGTGGACTGGAATCTCTAGTCAGATTTCTAATCTCTCAGGATGCTAAATCTAGAAAAGAAAATTATACTCTCTTGGTTTTTTTTTTTTTTGAAACAGGGCCTTGCTGTGTCTTCCATGCTGAAGTGCAGTGATGTGATCACAGCTCACTGCAGCCATGACCTGCTGAGCTCAAATGATCCTCTCACCTCAGCCTCCCAAGTAGCTAGGAACACAAGCATGAGTCTCCACACCTGGCCGATTTTTTAAATTTATTTTTTGTAGAGATGGGATTTTATTATGTTGCCCAGTCTGGTCTTGAACTCCTGGGCTCAAGCAATTCTCCCAACTCAGCCTCCCAAAGTGCTTGGAATTACAGACTTGAGCCATAGCACCTGGGCAAGAAATTACACTTTTGATTTTAGCTCATTTCCTGCTGAAATGTTATCCCCCTGGTTTTTCTTATTGATCCACTCTAATTTTAGGGTTGTATTACCTTGGTCACCTGTCTTCAAGCCCCAGCATGCCTCATTGTCATTGACCACAAGAGCTATGGGAGAAGACATTTCTCTGAGTAGATGCAGTGATGATAAGTGCTGCTTTAGGAGTCTGATTTATTGTCTACATGTGGTTCTGATAGCTTTCAACATCCCTAACTTCCTAAGGGATGTGTAGTTTTGCCTTCTCTCCTATTTCATGTATGCTTCTGGTGCCTGGACTTGGGACCAACATCAATGGAGGAGAAGAACTAGAAGAGAAGCAAGAATCAGGAAATGTCAGCCTTCAGAGGAGAAATAACACATTAGCTTAAATTGCATGAGAATCACCTCCCCATGCATACTGACTTATGTAAACAATGAAAATATACATGTGGCTTTCCAAATTGCAGACTAAATCTTGTTCTATTAAATATAAGTATTACAAAAATCTCTAGGTAATAGCAAAATGATTTCCAGGCCTAAGCTGAATGGAATGGCCTGTTTATTGCAAACAGTGCTCAGTGTTATAGTCATACATTGCTTAGCGATGGGAATGCATTCTGAGAATTGTGTCCTTAGGAGAATTTGTCCTTGTGTGAACACCACAGAATGTGTTTACATAAACCCAGATGGTATAGCCTACTCTATACCTAGCTCTGTGGTATAGCCTATTGCTCCTGGGCTACAACTTGTACAGCATGTTACTATAATGAATACTCTGGACAACTATAAAACAATGATAGATAAATGTGTATCTAAATGTATCTAGACAAAGAAAAGATATGCAAAAATATACTGTATTATAATTTTA